GAGCAGGTAGGCAGTCCCGTCAGGTGTGGGTGTGCGACGGGACTGCCTACGCGGTGGGCGCTCTAAGCCCCTGAGCAGGCAGGCAGTCCCGTCAGGTGTGTGTGTGCGGCGGGACTGCCTACGCGGTGGGCGCTCTAAATTGAGCGGTAGGTAGCCCCACCAGGCGTGGGTGCGCGTCGAGAGAGTCCATAAGCGGCGCTCTCGGGACTCGCGGCCGCTGCGCTGCGCTGGCCGCCGAGGCGCGGCACATGGAGCAGGAAGTCGCAGCTGCTGTGGCGGCGGCTGCAGCTGGGTGAAAGTACACTGACGTGGTAGGCCCTTGTCGTGGGCCACTCGGGGGAGGAGGGGAGGAAGGAGGGGGTCAGTCCTTCGGCTCGTCTGCCTATCGCCGGTAAAGGGGTCCCATCCGTGACCGTTGCGCCCGCAGTGACGTCTCTGACGCACAGTATGGTGCATAACGGCCGGTAAACATCTTACGCCCTGCTCCTTTAACAAAAAGCGACGGCCAACAAAAACGCAACAAATTGCGCGTCGTTCTGCGTTACGCAAAGCTGCTCGTGCGCGCGTCTCGCGGTTATTGGTCCATTGTGACGTGATGAGCCGTAAAGCTGCGGCGTAAAGAGACGGAGCGAGCGAGCGGGGCGCCGAGGTGTTGACCCGAATCTGAAATAAGTCCGAAACGAGTCATTCGGGGTGCGAGCAAGCCGCGTATGCGTCAGCGCCGCGCGTCGTGCGAAAGGAGTTGTTTGCTAAATCTGTCGCCCGACTCCTTCCTTATCGCAGACGGTCGCGAAAGAAGCGCCGATGTCACCTTCGGTTTTGAATGGGTGGCCGGGATATTTTCGCCAAATGCTCTCAAACGATCCTTATTCTCTCTTGGGTTCTTCCCCACCCGCAAACACGACGCGGTGGGTGTCACGAGAGGGGGAAGGCTCCCGCCGGCCGTATTTGCAACGCCGCATATACTCCTGACATCCCGGCGCTTTGGGGTTCCTGTCTCTCTAAATGCATCTCGCTTGGAATCGAAAAGCGTTCCAGCCTCTATTCCTCGCTCTATTCCGAGCGGAGTGACACTCCGGGTCACTGGACGGCCCCCTCGCCACTGGCTGCGAGGACCACGGCCAAGGCCGCAGGCTCCAAGGGCTCAAGTGACTCGCAGGCGGGGCCGGGCGGGGCGGGGTGGGGTCCACCACGGCAGAGTGACGCAAGGGAGTGTTTACCCGCGAGCACTACCCCACCCCTCCCCGCCCCACCTCGCCGCACCCCACCTCGCCCCTCACAACCCCACCGCACCCCGCCCTTGGATCTCATTGGCGCCCATTATTTCGCTCGCGGGCGACAAGTTTCCGCTGTTGTCCTGCTCCTGGGGGGACCAATTGGCCAACCGAATGTCATAATAAATGTAAAGGATGCAGTCCTCCTCGTAACGCTGCAGAACGGCGCCGCCGCCGCCTCTCGGAGACCGGCATCCCCGTGGCACGCCCGCATACACTTTCGAGCTACGAGCAAGGGGAGGAAGAGGCGATTTCTTGCTTGCTATGATGGGTTGTGCTACGCTACGTGACTTAAGCCACGCCATGGTCCTGCTCCAGTGTCCCCACGGCACTCAAAGAGTGTTCTCAAGTCACACAAAGAGTGGCCTCGAGGCACACAAAGAGTGTTCCCGCGGAGCACGAAGAGTGGCCATATTCAACCCCGGAAAATAATTTCGTGGGCAAGCTCTCGCTCGTCGGGGTGAGGTGCTCTATTTCTGTAAGATTCACTCAATGCATACACTGTACGTGTACAGTGCAGCATCACCCCAAAAAGATTCGAACCTTTCCGTATTAGAATACTCTGCCACCAAAGGGGTTTGATTCTTGTTGGCAAGTACGTGTGATTGTGAAAGGTGCCATACGACATGGACATCCAAAAGCAGATCGCTCTTGGAAACACGGCCGAGGAGCGCCACATTGTCTGTCACCCGCTGTATCGGGAGCACCTCCCCCCCCCCTCCTCACCCCGATTTCCCCCGGCCCGTTTTACTCCGAACGCAATTTTCCCGCCATCCATCATTGAGACTGACGTGTGCGAACGGCGATACCCGTGCACCTCTTCTGTGAAGCACCCACGGAGGCGTCACACTGACACGAGCAGGAGACGGGGTGTCACGGTCGCGTGCTGCTGGGCCGACGTGGGCGTCGTCAGGCAGGCCGTGTGGTGCAGGTCCATCCCCCCTTGCGACCTGGCCGCTGACCGCTCGGCCTGAGTGCTCGACACCTTGCCCCCGGCTCGACTTCCCTCTCCCCGCTTGCTCCCCGCTGACGCGGCGGGACGGAGTGGGGCGGGCGGGGCGCGGGGCGGGCGGCCCCCCTTGGGACCCCGGGCCGGAGCCCTGCTCTGTGTCCTGCTGGCTCGCGGCGTCGCGGTGCCTCAGACAGCCTCAGCAGTGCGTCGACTCCACAGTTCGTCTGCAGCCGCGCCGCGCCCCCCTCCCTCCGCCCCCACGTGCGCGCCCCGCCTCCTCCCCCTCCTCTCCGTCTTTGTCGTCCAGCGGGAGATGTGCAGCCG